ATCTAGGGAGATATCCCGGGCGCCTGGGTCTCGACGTCACGCTCGATTTGGCGACCGGGTGACCGGCCGGGCAAGACTCCCGGGCATGGGCCCAGGCAGCCCCAACGCAAAAAAAAAAAAAAAAACACACAAAGACCAAAGAAATCTGAAAAAAGATATATTGTGTAGAAATGCAATACAAAGTTACAAACAACTTTTGGCTGAGGGTCACATCAGAATTCCTCACAGACAGGGTTCGTCCCTGGGAGGCAGATTCTCCATAATGTCATGATTGTGGAACAATTACTTGAACACGTTTTGCGAGGGGGAGATAGCTTCGCCATTGTTTTGCTCGATCTTGAGAAAGCATATGACCGTGTAGGCTGGGAATTTCTGCAGGCGGCGTTGACAACCTTTGGATTCGGACCCAAGTTCAAACATGCAGTTTTGCTCTTCTTTCTAATGCTACTTCCCAAGTGTGTGTTAATGGAGTGTTGTCTAACCCTATTCACCTCTCTCGGTCGGTGCGGCAAGGCTGCCCTGTTGCACCATACTTGTACATACTGTATGTGGAGATTATGCATATTTTGATCAGGACAAACCCTGATATTCCAGGAGTGACGCTGCCCTCAGGAGCGACTCTTAAGTCTGAGGCATTTGCCGACGACTCTGTCGCTTTTACACCGCTGTCTGACCAGGCTTTTTTTGCCTTGAGACAAACCATTCACATGTTCTGTCAACTGTCACAAGCGGCGGTGAATTGGTCCAAGTCTTCTGCGTTGCTGCCGCCAGCGATACAGCCTCCTTATCATTGGGGCCTTCGGGTAGTTATTTCATCACAACAAGAACGACTGCTGGGACATTGCCTCTCATTTGACCCACAACAGATGAGCGACTCATCACAATCTGTTGTTCGATTGCGTGCAGCAATTTTGCCATGGGTTCAACATAAAGGCACCAGTTTGTTCGGGAGGGCGATAGTTATTAACAATGCGGTTTTGTCCACATTGTGGTACAGACGCTCTCTCTTCCAATTGGACCCCCCTTCCCTTCAGATTAGGCACCTGTTGTCTCACTACTTATGGAAGGAGGAGATGAATGAAGATAAATATTTGCCCAAGGTATCTTGGCAGACTGTGATACAACCGAAACGCTGCGGAGGTCTCTCGATTTTGGACCCAGAGAGCCAGATTATTGCCCTGCTGGCACAATGGGGGCCATGGGCGATTTTGGAATACCACATTCACCATGGAGACAGCTGGTTGAGTTTACTTTTTTTTCCTTTTTGGATTGGTCTGATCTGCGCTGTTTTTGGTTAGCTTTTCTTTTGCCTGAATATCTTCGTAAACAAATGCCATCCGGGGTGTGGGCTGGTATTTTGAAGGCATGGAGAGCTGTTTGCCCTCATTTGCAACCTCCTCAGATGACATTTTTAGCGATTGCTTACTCAACCTTTGTTCAATAACCCCTGGATTCTGACGGCCCAGGGATTACCTTTTGCATGTTTTGGACCTGGCCAATTTGGGAATGCATGGATGGGTAGAGGAATCGGTACCCTTTCAGACCTGTGGGATGTCCATTCATCAGATTGGAAAACATTCGAAGTGTTGGCACCCACTTTGACAGGATTGTGGCATCAACATCAGCATCTTCAACAGTTACAAGAAGCGGTACCACAGACCTGGCTACAGATTTTAAGGAGGGGCCTTGAGTTGGCCGATGGTTTGTGGTATAAACAGGAAGGTCAGGTTATGCCGCGGTACGTTTGGAGAAAGGAAACGTACTCTGAAGTGACAGACACACCTTACTCATGTTGGGAAGTTCAAGGTCAGGCCTTCTCATATGGAGAACCTCTTACGTGCGTACAAGAAGAGATACCCCTCCCTCCACTGGAACAGATGCAGCCGGTGTGTGTGATTGAACAAAACAACAGTTACCGACCTTTCTGTTTGCAGACTCTGTGTTCACACCTGCCGGTAGATCCTAGAGATTGGGCATGGCAACATCCCTGTAATCCGGAAAAACGGTTTTTTTTACAAGAGTATACTACAAAACTGGGCTACCAGATGGTAAGGCCACAAGTGGATGTGAACTGGGCAGTGGCACGGAGGTGGATGGGGACTGGATGGATTGCAGACTCTTTGCCAAGATTGGTGCACGCAATTCCGGGCTTCTGGAAACAGCTTATGGACCTGACCAACAAGAAAAAATGCTAGTTTGTTGTGGCTAATGATGCATCTGGCCTTGCCAGTGGCTACGTGGTGCTCACGCAGGACTACCAAGGCCACCCCGCTGTGCAAAATATGCCCGGGAACTCGAGTAGAAGATGTTCAACATTTTGTGCTGCAGTGTGACCTCACCCGACCCTTCTGGGAGTGGTGGCGGCACTCTTCTGTTCCAATTCCGGATGTGCAAGCCAGATGGGATGATAGCTTCGTGCTCTTGGGGACAGCTTCTAGACGAGCTCGGGCTTCTGATCGCTACTCCCATGCTGAAGAAACGCTACGAGCAGCCATTCTCACTACTTTCTGGAATCTCCGAAATTTGGCAGTTCGTAGGGGGGAACAGACAAGCCCCCCAATGGTCAGAGCTGAAGTTAAATATAATATTAAATTGGCGATATCTGCAGAATGGGAGCTTCGTGTGCAGAAGAAAAATCATACGGCAAAAGCTGTGAAATGGTTTGGTGCCAGATGGGGAGCCTTTCATGGACTATGTACTGTCAACTTGCAGGGGGGGGCTTTCCCTGCATTGGCCTTTTCTGATTTCTTTTTGTGACCTTATACATTTCTGTGTATTGTTTTTGCTTTGTTTGTGTTTTGCTTTTGTTTTGTTTCAGTTTAGAACTGTAGAACTTGTAGACTTTTTAGACTTTGTAGATTTTGTAAACTTTGTAGATTTTGTAGACTTGGTGGACCTTGGAAATTCAGGGAGTACTGGTGCCGGGGGGCAGGGGTCTCTAACGTTGACATAATGGTGGCTGGGGATGAGACTGGTCTGGATTGCCTCTCTCAGCCCTGTGTGCTGCAGTGTTCATGTGAGGGACGCCGGGCCCGTTTCCCGGTTATAATTGCTTTGTTTTTTTTTTTTTAATAAAAAAAAAAGGAAAGAATTCCTCACAGAACTGAAGATAAAAAAAGAAAACAAGTCCTTCGGGACATCCGTTAAAATTGGAACGATACAGAGAAGATTAGCATGGCCCCTGCGCTTTCAAGGATGACACGCATAAATCGGGAAATGATCCAAATTTTTAAAGGAAAAAAAAAAAAAAAAAAAAAAAAATCGCACTAAGGCACCCCCCTTTAAACCGCTTTAGCCCCTTTAAAATTCATTTATACTCCCCTTCCTCCCCCTTGACAGCCAACACTCAAAAAAAGAAAAGAGCCCGGATTTGAGATCCTCTCGGAGAGCGCGGAAACCCCCCACCGCCTTCTTTTTTTTTTTTTTTTCCCTATGCCCAGGTATCCCGGGCGTCAGACCCCCCCAGGCATCACGCCTGGGTGACCGTCCGGTCATGAAAATCTTCCTAGCTATTTATTGTTTTTTTTTTTTTTTTTTTTTTTGCCTTCTGATTCTGAAACCTGATGCGGCTGCAGTTGTTTCTTTTTTGAAGTTTTCGTTTTTAAAGGCGAACTCCCCCAAATGCAACACAGTGGAAGAAAAAGAAAAGGAAAAAAAAAAAAAATGCAGCACAGAAGCAACTGTTACAACTCAGCTTTTCCAAAAAAAAAAAAAAAAGCAGCAAAAGTCAGCCATCATGTTGCAACACAGAAGCAACATCTCAGCTTTCCCAAATACAACACAGTAGGAAAAGAGAGCCATCATTTTTTTTTATTATTTTTTTTTGGTTGCAAATTGCAACACAGAAAAACGCAACACCTTAGGTTTTCCAAATACAACACAGGATTAAAAAAAAAAAAAGAGAGAGCCATCATGTGGTCCCAAAACACTGACCAACTCCACTACCGTTGCTCTACCTGTGCTGTTGATTTTTTTTTTTTTTTTTTAACATCCCATAGGAGGCAGCGTCCACTTCTAAAGTTGATAAGAGCATCCTTCGTAAGTGGGACTGCCCAAGTTAATATGCCTACAGTATACAGGTGGGTCCCCACCTGCACCTTCTGGGAACTGGGTCCAGTGTCCCATTATATACGGAGATTGTACGCAGGGCCGCCGCAGGCAGCATTAACTAAGCTCTAAATTGAGGGGGGGGGGTACTGTCCGATCATGAAATGTCCAAAGACTACTGAACAACACCATTATTATCCAAACCCCAACCGGAACGTTTTGTCCTCTAAAATATGTGAGTTACCGTTCAACCCCAAGAAAATTAGCTACTGTCCGATCCCCAGGGGGGGGGGGTCTTTAAGTTTTGCTCACTACATGGCGCCCCATCTAATGATTAATCAGGAACCATTCAGGCACGGATGAAAAGAGACACTGTGCTTGGCTGGCTATGGGGAATATGGGACCGAGGGAAGGAGGAGGGGGGGTCAGGTGAAGCATAACGGGAAAGGGGCGGGAAAGGGATCAGGTTGGGGGGAGCCTGAAGCAGTCAGGGATAAGGGCGGAGATGATGGGGTGGGTGAGAAGGGGGCTTGCCCAGGAGCTGTCTCTTATACACATCTAGATGTGTATAAGAGACAGGTGCTGTGTGTTGACAGCTGGAGCTCTACTGTCTTGACATGTGGAAGTGGCGTCATCCCCAAGGCGCCGGGGGGGGGGAGAGGGGGAGGAGGAGGAAGACGTGAGAGGAGGGGAGGGAGGGGAGGATAGGGAGAGGGGAGAGGGAGGAAAGTGGGAGGGGGGGGGGTGGGGGGGGGGGGGTGGAGTGTGGGTGGGTGGGGGGGGGGGGGGGGGGGGGGGGGGGGGGGGGGGGGGAGGGGGGGGGGGGGAGGGGAGTAAGAGGAGCCTCAGGACTCAGGAGGCCAAGGTCTAACCAGCAATTCCAATTGAAAAGAAGGAGGTGGATTCTGGTGGCAGACTTCACAATGTTTATAATCTTTCTGTGAAAAGGGAAGTGATGAAAGGGCTTCGCATAGTCTATGCAATGTGTTGGGGTGCAGGACCCCGCATGTACCATCCACGATTTGTATCCACCACTACTAATGCTCACTGTTCGGAGCAGTTTGCTTACTTCCCCCTCCAATGAATCACTCTTCTTGCCTACGCTTCATCAGAAGTGTTATGCCATCGCTTGCTGTAAGCTGTGCAGGATTACGACAGTTTTCATTTTCACAACAACAGACGCAAAAACACACACACAGAGACACAGATACCCAGACACAAACCGACACATAGCGACACACACTGACACACTGACACAACGACACAACGACACAACGAGACGCACAGACACATACACACACACACACACAGACAGACACACGCAGAGACAGACACAGACACGGAAGACAACAGTCGCAAAACACACGCGCACACACAGACACACACAGACACACACACACACGCACACACACACACACACACACACACACACACACACACACACACACACACACACACACACAAAAGCTTCTTGGTCAGGACTAAGAAGCAAGAACCTTCTCAGTATGCAGAGAGAAAACTGGTGTGGAAGAAAGGGGGGACATAAGAGGGAGGGAGAGAGAAGGGCGAGGTGGGGTGGGAGAAGATATAGTCTGATATACACACCCACAACAAGGGCACACTCATACTAGGACTTTCAATACTGAGGGTCAGGCCCAACTGGTGACCCTTCTCTTCCTTCTTCTTTAAGCACATCTAACTGTCCATCCGGCGTCCAGAGTGCCCCCTGGGAAGTGCATGGCACACCATTGGGAACACACCAACCTATTCATGGGGAGCAGCATGTGTTGGGAATGGGGCCAGCGTCCCATAAAACACTTGTGCATTACATAAGAGTTCAAGCAAACGGAGCCAGTGCAGCATTTATGGCCTTGATGAAATCAGGGGATCGACTGCCAGTTCCCTGTGGGGGGAAACACAAAAGCCTTCCTCTTCAGCCTTTTAAAGGGCCACCAGATAGCAAAAAGAAAATCTAGCAACGCTTTCTACTCTGTTCTTAACCTTCTCACCCTATTCCGTACAAGGCCAGATCAACCACCACATGAGGGAAGTGGTCTGGGAATTCTGAGATTGAAGCATCCATGTTCGACCAGTCCATAAAAGATAAATGCAATTTAATGCATCCCTTTAGAGTTAGATTCTTCTCGTTCTATTTTTGGCAATTGCCCTTGAGTTCGGGTTTCTCAGCCATTCTGCTTCTGAGTGTTTTGCCATTTGGCTAAGTTGGCTTCTGCGAGGAATGAGCCTCGCGGAGCCCTTATCAGACATACAAGTGTTCTGGGCTGTGGCCCCCAGCAAGCCCCGTGCCCGCCATAAGTGAAGGCGGGCCTGAATATCCACGTGAGGCCTGTTTTCGACAATTTTTCCATATGTGGGTACTCAGACAGTTGCAGCACACCAGTTGGTTACAGAGCAATGTGAGCCTCCAGGCTCTTTCCAGAAGCAAAAGGCTGCGCTGCACAGTTGAGCCCAGGGCTCAGGTGGTTGCGCCCTGGGCACACGCTGTGTGAGACCGACACATCATGGACTGGTTACGGGCCAATGAGGAAGCAGCATTGTCGTCACACAAGGGCCGCGAGCCAATGAAAATGCTACAAACACTTGGAGGCTGGGGGGCTGCCTGGACATGCCTAACTGCACAAGGCCCACTCCAGTTTCGGAAACTGGGCCTGGGCGAAGACACATGGGGGCCCAACTGAAGCTACTGCCCCCCCCCACACGCCTGGCCAGTACAGCCAGCAACGACACACTTTCCATAAAGGAAAGTGTGCGCCCCTGGGAGAGGGATTCTGGCCTTGGCGGGCAATGCGGACATGCTGCTGCGTTGCTGCACTAGTGTCTGTATTGGCCTGCTGGCCGGACGCACGCATGGGCGCTGAGGTGAGGGGGGCTACTGAGGAAGCGAGCGCATAGGAGCCATAGCCGGGCTGCAGGGGTGCAAGGGAGGTGATGGCGAGGGTGGTCTTTGGGTAGGAGGCGCATGATGTGGGGAGACGAGGGGTGATGGCGACAGGAGAAAGAACGTACCTGGTGTATGCTGGTGGTCGGCATTGGTGTTGACGTCACGTACATTGGTCTTCGACTTTGGTGTGATTATGTCGCATGAACGTAGACAAATTAGATAGGCGGAGTAGAGTAGGCTGGGCGCTGAGTGCCAGACAGTAGGTGTGACATTGGATACAGTGTTGGTGTGACCAGAGAGCTCCGGCATTGACACTCAAGTTCTTTGTATTGCGCTTATTTCGATGATATCTTGGTGCATTTGAGCTCTCTGCTTGGTATATGACTATCTAGGCTACTTCGTGATTTTGCAACTTGGTTTTCTGTCTATCGCTCTCGCTCATATTCCTTGCAATTTGGTATCGGAGCTGGTTCGAGATCGCTGTTACTGGCACTGGCGGCATTGTTACTTGGTGCGCTGACGGAACTTCTACGCAGTGAGGATACATTGGCGCTGGCATGATTTGCCACTCCCAGGTCGAGGGGAAGCTGGCAGGAAGGCTGTGGCGACAACGTGGGAGTTGTGGCAACAACGGTTGTATGTGGGATGATGAGAGCATGCTGACATGGCATTTTGGCTGAGGTGGCACTCCATTGTAATGTGTGTGCTACCGAGGCCATGACCGGTCATCAAAATGCACGTCGGCTCAATTGGTGAGAAATCTGTGGTTGGGGTGAGCTATCTTCAGATACGCTGTTCCCTTACCTTATCGTTCCATCTCAAACTCTTCTTACCATGAGGAAGTGAGTTCAACTTGAGTGTCCTCTTCTGGTTCAGGAGTTGTGAGCGCTCTACCTTGAGAGTCAACATTCTTCCTGGTGGCGCATCTGGCAGGAGAGGGCAGTGCCTCTGAAGGGCCCTGGTCGAAGCACGGGACACGGTCACCATGCCAACCCATGGGAGTACAACACGCATGCTTTGCTGCTTTGTCCTTGAAGCTTTTGCTGCACTGTAGAGGGAACGTGGACTGACCAGTCCTATGAGAGACATCAACCAGACCGTCTATAAAGAACCTTTGGCGGGATCTGATCTGAACGCTGGCTGTGATCGCGGTCCTGTCTGCGACGTTAAATAATTCCTGAGGACTTTGGGAGCTGTCCTTAAATTGCCTCTTGATCAGCCCGATCAGTCGGATGTAAGGCTTGTTGTATGGGAGGATAAATAAAGGGCAGTGCTGGTCATAAGCGGGTTCCTGGGCACACGGGTGGGCCGTTGTGCACACGATCGACACTGCTGCTTGATGATGCGATATAGGATCGATGGATACAAGGGAGGGAAGGTTCCAATTGGTGCTCGAACATAAACAAAATTTATTCCCATTTGTGCATACATCTGTGTATATGCTTTATTTATATTTTTGATTAGTTGAGGTGGATAGACTGCTAACACCTGACAAACAACATTAGATTAGAACTGTAGTAGTTTACCATAGCCAGTTCTGTTTGACGCTGTTGTGAGAGAACTAATCAAAGTAGGAATAAATCATTTGTTCAGTTTTGTGTAAATGCTGTTGACACCACTTGATCGGTTGCCTGGTTGACTTGCCGAATAGTTATTTATTTTATTATATTTTACAACTCGGTCAGACACATGCTGTGGTAGGCCCTTGCGAGGGCACTCGTGCAGATAGTGATCTGCCTAGCTGATGAGCGGTACAGATAGTGGGGAGGAGATAGCTGATGATAGGAGACACACGGGGGATACAGGAAGAATTCCGGTAGTGTTTCAGGTTCTGCTACCAGGGGACGAGAGAAGGTTCCGGGCCGAAGCAAGGGCCCAGCGTTTGCAGACAGCTAGGGAGGCAGCAACAGCTGCGAAGCATGTATTAGCAGAAGCTGCAGCTAGTGCTGAAGCTATGGCCGCTCCTGCAGCGACCTCTCAAGGTCAGCAGACCTCAGGAACTTTCGCTGTGTCCTTTGTCTCATCCAGTGGGACTTGTGCAGGACCATCTGTCACTCAGATGGAAGGCTCGCAGTATAGCCAGCCACCTCAATTCACTAGGGAGGAGATAGAACTCCAGCAAGTAGAGTTACTCCGCTTACAATTAGAGAAGCAACTAAGAGACGCTACGAAAAGAAAAAATCAGATTAGTAATCGTAAGGACAGATTGGAGAGCAGAGAGGCAAACAAAGTTGCATTAGAATGGAAAGATGATTCAATCCTAAATGATGTTGGAAAAATCATCAAGGCGAATTTGCCAAATATGAACGAGTATTTTGATAGCCGACTGGATGAAATCCAGTCAACCCTTGACCAAATACTGAGAGTCGTGCAGGGAAGGGGAGGACCACTACCCTCCATACCTATTGCGCCCATTGTCCTGCAGGAATCAACTTTTCCATCGCCAATTCCTATACCAACAATGACAGGACCCTTTGTTCCACAGTTTGGTGTTCTACCAAGCCGTATGTCAGCAGCAACAACAAAGACTCTTGCTTCTTAATCCTCAGGTCCAACTGCTGCCGCTACGAGGCCGCATCCAATCCACCAATGGGACCACAACAGCCTTGGTACCCCAAGACTCCACTGAAACCACCCTCGACCTTCTCAGGAGACAAGAAGGGCGAGACACTCGACACTTGGTTAAGGACGGTTCCAGTGCGGGTTAGGGCAAAGAGGACGTTGCTAGAAGAAGAGGTGATCACTGCCGCCTCATATCTTGAGAGATCGGCAGCAAGATGGTTAGATGGAATAGTGGCATCTGAGGGATTCGGCCGACGAATGAATGATTGGGCGAAAGCCCACACATTTGAGAGCTTCATGGCGTTGGTTGAAACACGATGACACAACCCACAACAGGCCCAACAGGCCACTGATGCGTCGTCCCGACTTGATACTAGAAGGTACAAGTCTTCGCGTGAGCTCACCACTGTCGTGGAGAAACTCATGGCCGTCTCTGGTGTCCGCTATGATTCACAAGTCTTGTTGACCATGTATCTTAGATGTCTTCCTACAAACATCAAAAATTTGATAGTTAGCGAGGCCAACATCGAGTATCATACTCTTGACTCCTTTAGCAAGAAGGCCTTGGACTTAGAAGCTAAGCTAGGAGGAGCGCAACAACCTGCTACGGACGACAGGAAAAAGAAGGCCCTACGAGAATGAAAGAAGAAGGGTAGTAGATTGATGATGGTTGAT